GAATATGGAACACTGCATTCTAATCTAAATCAGCACATGAAGAAAATTGTATCAAAAGTCTCAAATGTTGACAAAATGTAAAAAAACGGAAGTAATATTTGGCTGCTCAAAATGTACTGGGTATACTGAAAAATGTTTCCTGGCAATCGCTGAATTTCCTTGCATACGAATTTTTGTGACAACTGCTTTTCATTTGTGTTTTATGGAGTCACCTGCAAACTCGACAATTCACATCTGCATTTCTTGCAGATGTGAAGTCAAGCCATTGGCATTTTCAGAAATGAATGGACGAATCTTTTTTTTTCTTCAAAATCTGACTCTGAACTCAAATAACCAGGTTAAAAGATCAGTGGGCACAGAACGGACCCCTGAGGGCCTCTACGTGTGTCCGGTTAGAAACGAAAGAGGAAGACTGTCTGACCGGAGTTCAAGTATCTCAAAGAGAATTCCACAGTCAACTTGCGAAGGCCTGGCTGAGGTCAAGAAACACCAGAATAGACCATTTGTTATGCGCTGCACTAAATTTAAAGATCTTTCTCGGCGTTGAGGTCTCACTTACACACAGTCAAATATCAGACTGATTCTTCTGAAGTCAACTGAGACTAACAAACAATTTGCGTCTGTCTCATCATATGTGCTCCTTCAACACTGACCCAGTACCAACAACAATAAAGGCCATAACAGACCCGATAGTTCGATTTTGGTCCCTAAACTAATGTCCTTACCGTTCCAACTGGACAGAACACCACATGCCGTCCCTGAACCAGTGCTTTGATTTTGACTGCAGTCATTGTCCCAAATTATGATGCGACTCAAATATTTCGACAGTGTCCACTTCCTTGTCTTCTACCTGGATGGCAATTGCATGCCACTCACAGATTAAAGCACAACATGACCCCGCCAATGTTTTCTCACCCCCCGCAGCCATCTTGGGCATGTACACACTGATGAGCAACAAGCAGTACTACGACGCTCTGGGCACCACCGGAACTATCGCCAACACGGAGGGCATCAACAGTACGTAGTTGTAGTCGACGTAGCTCGCGATTTCTTTTGGGAGCTTATTAATTTCTCTTGTGTACCCTTCAGGCGTGGTGAAAGAAGACCCCTTCAAGATCTTCCCCGACGAGCCGCCCAACCCCACCAACGTGGAGGAGACGCTGGAGAGGATCCAAAACAACGACAGCAGCCTGACCGCAGTCAACTTTAACAACATCAAGGTAAAGCCCGATGTTCACAGGACGTCAAATAGGTCGGTTGAAAGTATACGACAGCCAATGAAATGTCTTTTAGGTGGGTTCTCAAAATTTTGGAGTCCGTAATATTCTGATTTCAAAGTCGAAAATTGATGAGCTAAAACGAGGTCTTTAGCTTCAATCATATCAGAGCCTTTAGCTAGGTCAAAGCTAAGCTAGGAAGGAGTAAGACCCACATGGAGGT